AGGGGTATTTGGGATGGGTTGAAAACAGGTTGATCAAGTTTAGGCATTGTTCACAAAATGAGTTACCTATTAACTACTACTTACAATATAAAGAAATTCTGATAAAGAGTTAAAACCCACCAACATGAAACGAATTACTTAAGAATTCTCCGGTTTCTTGTCGTTCAGAATGATCCTTCATCGACTGCGCCAAAATTTTAATATGTTATATTCGGTTCGTTCTTTATTTTTGTAAGTAATGAACAAGCACTTAAAACTATCACAAACAAAACTAATATTAATAAACAAGAACTTATTACAGCTAGACTAAAAATCAAATGAACCAACGCCAAGCTGTGTAGTTTGCCTATATTACTTTGGTCTTTCGTCAGTCAACTGTTTCGAACGAGCAACAATGGGAACTAGCAAACACTTGCAAATAAAATAAAAGAAGGAGTCTTTAGAAGCTTCGCTTCTAAAGAAGAACAATTCGAGTTCGTCGCCAGTCTTTTGTTTATAAAAATTTGAAAATGTGAATATTGAGTACGGGATCATAACAATATATACGAGAATTTTATTTTTGAAAAAATTTAAATATAATGATAATAGTAATAAATGTAATTTATTTTATCGGATGATTTTATGCTCATAAATTAGTCATCATGTATAGTCGTTACATTTTTTCTATGGCAATAATTTAAAAAAAAAAAAAGAAAATTTTAGTCAATAATTTTTTTTCGATACGGAGCCGCTTGCCAATTTTCTTTTTTTTTCTAGAAAATTTTCAAAAAAATAAAAATAAAAATTTGTCGTTTTTAATGTTTATTATAATCGACGTTAAAAATTCTATTTATTCTGTGATTTTTATGTAAAAATAAAAGTAATTATTCGTCCATAACATTAAAAAATATTTACTTCAAACTTAAAAAAACGTTATTATTATTATTATTATTATCATTAAGAAGAAAAAAATTAAATTATTATTAATTTATTTTAATTTTATTTATTACTCAACGCGACTATGTAATAAAATGTTAATTTTTTTTTTTTTGTTTATTAAACGAGGCAATCGAGAAATTTTTTTCATTTTTTTGGCATATTTAAAACCAAATCTCATAAAAAAAAAAATAAAGAAATAATCCTTATTATTATTATTAATTAATTTTTCTCCCTCTCGATTTAAATATAAAAAAAAAGAAAATAAAACAAAAAAGGAAAATTTTTTTTCTCTTTCATCCTTTTCCCCCTTTGTCGGTTAAAAATTCCTCAAATTTAAAAAAAAAAAAAAAAAAAAACCGTTACATTGTTTATGGAAATGCAAACAAAAATGGCGGACGTAACGAAAGGATTACTACTGTTATTATTATTATTATTTTTGCCTTCGAATTGCACGAATTTTAAAATTAAAATCAACTTTCGTTTTTTTTTTTTTTTTTTTTTTTTTTCGTGTTGTAAAAAATCGTAATTGTAATAGAAATTTCTAGAGGCATCGAAATTAATATCGAATCGATTATCGAAATCATTGATTTAGCGTAATAATAATAATAGTAGTAGTAATATTGAGTTTTTATTTATTTATTTATTTTGCGTAATTTTAAGCGATTGTTTTCTTTCTCTATAAAAAAAAAAAAAATTTAGATGGGAGTAAAAATTGCTTATTAAACTTTCTTTTTTTTTTTTTTACCTGCGTTTACCTTGATCTGATTACAAAAAAAAAAAAAAAATTTGTTTGGTTGTAATAGAGTTAGTGGCCGTAATGGAAGATTCCGTTATTAATTAAATTACTTATGTATACACAATTTTCCAAGGTAATTTGTTTATTAACGGATAATAAATAAATAAATAAATAAACATTTTGTTTAAAATGTTTGTTTGATCGACGATTACGAGTAAGTGGGAAAGAAAAAGAGAGAAAAAAATTGCATAACTTATTCGTTACCTTAATGTCATCCAAAAAATTTAAAATTTTCTTTCTTTTTTGATTAAAAGTTCTAGAATATTCCAAATGAGTGTTTCAAACAATTTTTCCGTTTTCTTATTTTCGGTTATTAAAAATTTAAATTAAAAAGAAAAAAACGCACTGAAAATAAACACTTTTAAACAAATTTTTTCTTTTACATTAATTTGTTTTAACTTTTTTTGTTCCGTTACAAAAAATGTCGTCTGCTTTTCTCTGTGTTTTGGCGCTCGCGACGCGCGACGGTGCGACGCTAGCGCCACTTTAAAAATACGGCAGATTCGTTATAAATTTTATAATAAATTATTTAAATTAATTTAAAATTTTTATTATTTAAATATTTGTATTTCGGAAAAATTGTAAGTAAAATAAACTTTTTTTTTTTTTTATTTATTAATCGACTACAAGTAATAATATCACGACAGGAACGACAGTAATTTTTTTTTAATTTTCATAATATCGTTTGTTTACATTAACATTCGAACCGTTCGATTTTTCAAAAAAAAACCGTTAATTTAAATATGGTGAAAAATTTATCGAATGATTTCCTCATATAAAATAATAAATTTCGTAATTTTTCCTATGGAAAAAAAAAAAAAAAAAAAAAAGCAAAACCTGAAAATTAGGTTTTGTCCTTTTTTTTTTTCCAGGTCAAACTAACTCATTTAAGGACAACCTCATGCTTATTATTATTATCATTATTATTACTTTTTTTATTATAAGATTTTTATTTAATACCTTGTTTGTTATTAATAATAATAATGATGATGAAAAACTATGTGTTATCAACAATGTTATCAATTCATACAAAGTAAAAAAAAAAAAAAATTTTTTTGTTTGCATAAATTCATGAATTTTAATCATAATAATAATAATCATAATAATAATAATAATTACAGGTGAAAATTAATTGTGTAAAAAAAAAAATTATTTTGACGTAAGATTAATTTTGTCCGTTTGTCGTTTGTACGAATTTTTAATATCCGTTAAAAAAAATTTTTTTTTTTTTTTTGACTAAAAAATTACATAAGAATTATTATTATTATTATTAACGGGAGTGGTGGTGGCGGTTGTTGTTTGTACATTCACGGTTGTGCGAATTATAATTAATACTTTTTAAATAAATTTAAAAACATCCTCTTTTAAAAAATTTAAGAAATATTTAATTAATTTCGTAATTAATTTTTTTTTATTAAAAAGATAAACAACAAATGACGTCATCATTCGAATAAATTTTCCTTATTTTTTTGAAAATTTCAAACGTTTGTAGATTTACTAAAACG